CTGCGCTACCCCAGGAACCAAGTGGGAGGCGTGGGAGCCCAATTCCCGGAAATTCATGCAGTTCCGGAGATGCTCAGACGACCAACAGCACTGCAGAAACCCAAATGGTCATTTTAGCCCCAGACGTGCCTTAACAAAAGCAGAGGCCCCAGGGGCAGAGGCGACCCACAATCCAGCTGTCCGCTCTGGGCCCAGCATGCCAGGTCTCTGCCCGGCCAGGCCTGGGGACGCCAAGATCGAGTCGCCTCCGTTGGGCAGTGTGACTGGAAGGCGGCCGCACTCAGGTGCCGCTGTGTCCTCCTGGCACAGGTGACCCCCGTTCCCGGTGCGCAGCGCCTCACCTTCTACACACACCCAGCTTCGGGGAACTGCCCGGAGGAGCTGGGGCATCCCTTGTAGAACCAGGCCTGGCGGAGGGGCTGGGCGGCGGGATTTCGTTCCTGCCTCAGTCTTCCAATCTGTGCCTCAGTCTCCCAAACCGAAGCCCTGCGGGTGGAGTCCACTGCGGCAGGAGGCTGCGGCAGGTCTCCGAGCATGCCCAGGAGCGGTGCGCCTCCTTTCCAGAGCCCCTTCCTTGGACACCCGGGTGTGGGTCCCAAGACGCGGGGAGAGGGGGAAGCCGCCCCTCCCCATTGCCCAGAGCTGCGGGGCGACTCAGCAAGGGCTGGAGTTGGACTCAGGATTTTGGCTGAAGGACACGGGCCTAAGCTGGTGTGCCCGACCTCCCCCTGCCATGGGGCGCCCTGCCCGGTGCGGGCTCTGACACCGCCATACCCTGACACTCCGACACTGGAGTCGGCTCCGGGACCTCCCTACCCGCTTCAAGGCCTGGAATCTACTGAGCACGGCTGCGAGCAGGCGCTTCCTGGAGCTTCGCCTGCGCTCCAACAACCCCCGTGGGAGCCCCATTGTAGAGATGGGGAAACTGAGGCTCAGGAAGTTCAGACCCTGCCCACGCCACCGGCGGTGCTAGGTAGAGCAGGGATCCTCCAAGCTCGGCAGCCTCCCTGGGGCGGGGAGGGTTGCCTCCTTCCAGGGAAAGGCGGGGCGCGGAGACCGCACTCAGGCCAGGCAGGGGCAGGGGCAGGGTGGCTGGCGGGAGACCGGCGACAGCACGCAGCCTGGCGGGGCTGAGGAGGGTGGAGGGAGGCCTGTCTGGAGCCGCATCCACCCGGATGCGCCCGGCGGGCTGGTGGCGACCCCGTGACCACCCATGAAGGACGTCCTGGAGCCAGGCACACGGACGGGGCGCTCGCCCAGGGCCAGGTGGGGCCGGGATGGCCTCGGCGGCGTCCCCGCCGCGACGAGCTGCGGGAGAGACGAGAGGCAGGAGCGGAGCGCATGTCCGCGGGTCGCCGTCCGCTCCAACCGCGGCCTTGCGGGCTTGGGACGGGCGGCCGCAGCGGTGACAAGGGCCCTGAGGGGCCGAGCGAGCCAGCGACAGCGGCCCGGCGGGCTGAGTGCCGCCGGCGCTCTCCCGGGAGAGACCCCTCACCACTGCGGCAGGACCCCTGGCGCAGGACGCGGAGGTCCCCGGAGCACGCGGCTCGTGCGGCCCCGGCGACGCTGCTGGAGGGCCCCAGGGGCGGGAGGGGCTCACGGCCCCGCACGCCCGCCGGGAAGCCCAGAAGCCAC